CCACTTGTCCCCCATCAACTTTCTGGGTTGATGTTGAATCATCCTGGGATTGAGACATGAAGCAGGGAGATCTCGGGAAGTTGTGTGATCTGGCTTTCTGTCCCCTAGGATATGCAACTGTGGTCAGTAGCTTCCTGATAGGCCCTGCCTGGGGAGAAAAGGGACTAATAACCAAGATTTGGGGGGAAACATTGGCCAAGCAGGGCCAGGGGTATCTTTGTTGCAGTTAAGTCTGGGACTTCACACAGCACATGTACAACCAAAGGAGTGAATCTCTGAGATGGGAAATCTTTGCCGTAAAGTTTTTCAAGCTCATCTGCCAATCAGATACAGTCAGTTCTCCTTGTTCAGGGCAGTTACATTCTCTAAAAATGCTGTGAACTCTGCATGTATGAATACTGACCCACTTACCTCCTAGGAGAAATACAGGATGAGGTTCCTGCAAAGCCTCTGCTCACCATTTTTGTCAACTAATCAATACATAACCTTGTTTTCCATCTGTTTCTTTTTTGTTTTTGTCTTATGTGTGTTTCTCCCTAAAGACACCTTATTTAATGTGTATTCCTCACAGATGATTACATCCTGTATTTCCTTATAATAAAACTAGCTAAGAAGAGTCTAACATTTTCCTGACCCTGGATAAAAAGACCGTAAATTTCTTTGGCTCCCAGCCTCATCACAGTGCCTTCACCATGCTCTTTTTATTAACGGTCACCTCATGAATCCATAAAGTAACCCCCTTTTCCAATGCTTCCTCACACACTATAGATGTTACTTTAGCGCTTTCCAGATCAACCTCATGTACAGATTGGCGAATTTCCTCTTCCTCTTTCTGGCTGTACCATATTGTTGACTCATGGCCAACAGCTCTATCATTCACACCTACATGAAATATCCAACACAACTTTTTTTTCTCCATAAGGCACATCATAGCCTTCTCATACTTAGAAACATCAGAATGCACTCCAGCACTGCAAGTGGGGGTCATTTTATCACCAAACAGAAAGCACAAAAATGCAAAAAACATGGCGCTAAAAGGCCCATGAAAAGGACACCTGTTTGCAGTATGAGAGCTGAAACAAGAAGGCAGAGTGTCTCCTTGTTCAAACTCAGCTGGGATCATGCACGCTGACTGACTCACATGCCTCTGCCTCTCTGTGAGTGTCCACAAATGCTTGCAAAAGCACCACGAGTACTGATTTTAAGCTTACACATAAATTTTAGCAAGTAGGCCAATTCACAAATATGGAATACATGAACAATAAGGATCAGTCAGGATTACCTGGGTGGCTCAGTCGGTTAAGCAACCGACTTTTGATTTCGGCTCAGGTCATGATCTTGGGCTCTACACTGGCAGTGCAGAACCTGCTTGGAATTCTCTCTGCCTGCCTCTCTCTCTCTCTCTCTCTCTCTCTCTCAAAATAAATAAATCAACTTAAAAAAAAAAAAGAACAAGGATCACCTATGCTTTGTTTACACATCTAACAGGATGCTAGTTTGCCTCTTTGATTTGAAACTCTCAGCAACAGAATTTGGCCATGCCATGTGACAAAATATGCTTTTTTGCTTATATTTTCCAAATTTTCCTCAATAAACATGGATTGCTTTGAAATAGCTCTTTCTTCTCTAGAAATACTCATGCACAGATCTCTGTTCCCCCAATCACATGTGTCTTCCTGCAATTTGAGTTTATTTCCTTTGGTTTCTCTCACATCCTGCCCTCCCTCCCCCACCCCCATCGCAGACCTCTTGGTCTCATCAGCATTACACAGCAGAGAGGTCTACCTGCAAACTGGAGCCTTTTCAAAAGCAAACACACTGAAGGAAACATCTGTAACAACAAGCAACATCTAGAGCATATAAAGTTCTCCTAAGATATAGAAAAGCACTCAGACTCCACATGATAAAGAGCACAAATCAAACATTCATAGAAAAAGAGTAGCAAAGGGTGCCTGGGTGGCTCAGTCCGTTAAGCATCTGACTTCAGCTCAGGTCATGATCTCTGTTTGTGGGTTCAAGCCCCACACCAGGCTCTGTGCTGACAGCTCAGAGCCTGGAGCCTGCTTCGGATTCTGTGTCTCCCTCTCTCTCTGCACCTCCCCCTGCTCATGCTCTGTTCTCTCTCTCTCAAAAATAAACATCAAAAAAAAAAAAAAAAAAAAAAAAAAAAAAAAAAAAAAAAAAAAAAGAAAGAAAAGAAAAAGAGAAGTAGCAAGATAACATGAGGAGATGGTTAAAGTTCATACCCAGTATGGGAATTTATTTTCAGGCAATAAACCAAAAGAAAACTTGTACATAGATGTCTGTGCCAGTCCAATGTGTAAGAAACAATCCCATCTGTAACCTGTATGCTTGGTGGCAGGGTATGTGCAGATGAATGAATTAGATGGCACGTGGCCTAAATGGAACATTCAAAGGTCAGTAAAAATGATCATGAAAATTATAAGGCAACACAGAGAAACACTTGTAACATGTCAGATTTTAAAAGGTGGATGGCAAAATTACATCTGGACTGCAAAGACAACCACATGCATTATTCATATTCAATGCTAGAGTCTGAAAAGTAACACAGAAAAACCAAAAGAGCTCATCTGCTAAGGCAGCGGGAACCATAGAGGATACTTTTTCTGTCTTCCCATTTCTAATTCCATTGTAATACTGTTGTCCACACAAGGACGAAATAAAAGGCTATGCAATACTCTTCAAAGTGTCCATGATGTAACTTTTCAAGCTTTAAAATGAGGATCAGAGAGGTGAGGGATGCTATGCAATTCTTCCTCCAGCAGAAGCCTTCCACAGTATTGCCTCTCGAACTTGAATGTGGCCTCTTGTCACATGTGGATTCAGTGGTTCTGCGGTGGGGCCCTCCAGTGGGGCAACACTGCTGGGCCATGGATCACACTTCAGAAAGCAGACTCCAGGTAGCCACCATTGCCCTTTGGCCGTTAGCTATTTTGTTTTGCTTTGTTTTGTTTTACTATAGCCTTAATCCCAGGCTATGACACACTAACCGTAGAAGGCCCAGGGAAAGGCCAGCATGGGACTCAGGCACCCTGTCCACCTATTTGAGGCTACTCTTTTGTTGGCTCCTGCCACACAGTCTGGCTGTCCTGGAGGGAGTAAGGGATTCCTTTTAGGAAGCAGGCTGTGATCTGAAGCAAGGAGTCACCACATTTCCCACTGGACCTCCTTCACACACTCTTGCTTTCAAGATGATTCTATCACAGTGGCTCTTTTTGGTCCAATTTCAAAAGGGTCCTCATCTGGAGAATGGGTCACCTGCGTCTACAGGATGGGAAGACCCAGGTCACATTCACCCAGGCATGGCACAGTCCCCCAAAGGAATCCTTAGGCCCCATTTTCATCAGGAGCCCTTGTCAGCACTGAGCTTGGCATCATCAGGTACTCTCTTTGATGGAGTTAATTTGTGAATGAATGAGTGAGTAAACCAAAAAAGCTATGCAATAAATAACCCGTTTAAATGAGCTTCTCTAGAGTGTCTCAGATTCGCTTTGAGGAGACACTCTATTTAGGGAGAGAAGTTACCTGCTCTTTCATTCAATGCCATGACTCTGAGGAACAGAGCTCCTACTGGGTCTCCAACAATGGCTCAGGATATCTCCCACCTCCACCTGCCCTTTGAAACCACCACCACCACCCCCATTCATTCCATCCTATTCATCCATCCCTCAGGCTCTCCAACCCAAAGTCTGCATTTTTGCTCAAATTAGCATCTGGTACAGCACAAAAACAGCAAAACGTCAGGTCTTGCCCACTCCCCGTCATACTCTAAAGATAATGTTCTCTTTATGAGAACTTTGTCAGGGAAGTCATTTGTTACAAGGTGCAGTATGCCCTGTGTAGCCCACGTTAGTCCCTGTGGCGCCATAGCCACTGTTTGGCAATGAGTCCAACTCTGCCAAGGTGAAGAAGGCTGGCAGTGCTTGGGCTTAAAGCCCAGACCTTGGGCCCCGAGCCACCTGCCTTTGGGGGGAGCTCCCCACATCCACTCGTGCAACAGCAGTTTCTCTACATCCCAGAGCCCTCGGTGCAGGCACAACTGCCGTGAATGACAAGAACACCCCAAAAGTGAAGTCAACCTACATTTAATGGTCTTTAAAAAGAACAAAAGACATCAACATGCAAGTAACAGAAACCAGCAGCAAGTCATATGACTTATATCCCAAACACACGTCCTTAGTGTATAAACTCATGGACTCCTCTGGGGGAAAAAAAATACTAATTAAAGCTTTAAAAAATATAAAAGCATTTCATTGTCATTTGCCCACAGAATTGGCCAAACAGAAGTTCCTTTACACAAGTGTAATAGTCACATCTTCTTTATATATTCACAGAGGTGTGTTGTTTTTCTTTTGTTTTTGAAAAGCAGCTTTTCAAATGTAGCTATCAAAATATATGCTCACTTTGATACAGTTAAAAGAAAATAAAGTTATGCTTAAATCCATTGGCCTCATTAATATGCATTTCTTCTCCAAGACTTTGTCAAACCTTCAAATAATTATTTTCAAAATAGTTATTTACAGCTAATGGCCCATAATGCCAAGCCCCTGAGCTTTCAGAAAAGTGTCACTGGGATACAATGGTCCCTGTGAAATGCATGCAGGTCACTACCCCTTGTCACTGGGGCATCCAACCACTGCCTGCCACAGTATGCACTCCCCAGCAACCTCACAGCCTTGTCAATGTCCCATCAGCCTGAGGAAAAAAACCTGGTAGGGGGATGGTAATCACAGGGGGCCACCCCCAACCATGAACAAATCCAGCACAAAGAGGCTAGAGACTCAATCTCTTTTAGGTGGGAGGGGGGTACCTTCTGGAAGGCACTAGAATATCCACATACCTGCTACATAACTGAATTAATGCAGAACTAAACATGCCCTTGAACTATGGGCTTTGGCACCTGTGTGGGCAATACCAGAGTATCCTTTGCTCTCTGGGGCCCTCCACCCCCTTCCCTCTGGGGACAGCCAGAGTCCTACCTGCTCTTGGGGCCACTTTGGCCTCTCCTCTGGAGTTCTGGACTTGGTCTTGAAGCCTCTCTGGGGGTCTCCGGAGTGCTTGGCCTCAGGAGGGAGGTTCAGTGATTTGGGCCTTCCCTCATGTCTGCTAGGGCCGTGGCTGGCCTCACTGGGTGGGCAGGCCTCTGTGGAGTCCCCGGGCCCCGGCTCGGGTCCCCGCACCAGCGCGTGTTCAGGGCTGGCCTCACCGGCGCTGGTGATGCTGGTCATGCTCAGACTCATCTTGATCTCAGCCACGATCTGGTCGATGTCCTCCTCCTGGTCCTCCAGGTCCCGGTCCCCACGCCTCGGGTGATAGGGGGAGGCAGTGCCCGTGTTCCCATTGGCCTCCGCAGGGTAGTAGTCCTGGTAGCCCTCTTCACTGGGACAGTAGTGGACACCTTCTTCCTGGTCCTGGGCCTCCAGGACGGAGGCCTCATCCTCCGGGATGGGGAGGTGGCTGTCCCGGTAGTCCGGGCTGCCTTCGTCCCCGTGGCCATGCGGATGGGGGCCTGCCGAGTCCGTCCACTCCTCCACGGCCTCCTGGCACTCATCCGTCTCCAGGTGGCGTGTGCCATGGGCCAGATACCCCTCCCCGTTGCAGTCCATGCCCTCCAGGTAGCTGTCATCCTCGGGGCAGTAGCGGATATAGTAGGTGATGCCCTCCTCCTCCTCAGGGAGGCCCTCATCATAATCCTCCTCCTCAGAGGTGTTGTTCACATAGTCAGAGCTGGAGTCCCCATCGGGGCTGTGGTCGTGGCACGCCTGGTCTGGGGGTGTGGGGCTCTCGGGTTGCAGGGTGGACAGCTCCAGGCCCTTGGGCACATACTCTGCCAGGGGTAGCTCTGCGTCCTCGCTCTCAGGCTCCTGGCCATGGGGGACGGGGCCAGGCCTTGCCCTGTGGTCCAGCATGCTGCTCGCCGTGCTCTGACGCTTCCGGTTGGCCATGGCGGATGCTCACGCAGCCATCATCACCTGCAGGCAGCCACTGTGGGGAAGAACGTTGAAGAGGACAGTCAGAACCCCACAAAACATGGCTGACCCAAGGCTCCCGCCAGGCTGCCAGCAGCAGGACCCATGGGAGTGTTCCACCACCATGTTTTCTCAGAGCAAAGTTAATGCACATCTGTTCAAATAATGTGATGTCCCCACTGCAGCTGACTCATTTGTGGAGAGCAACGCATGCCCATGCCACAGAGAAGGGGGACACGCAGGGCTGAGGGGAAAGGAGGCAGGGGCAAGGCGAGGCACCTGCCATTCACCAGGATGACTGCCTCTTTCCCAGAACCTCACCGGCTCATTCATGACTTCTTAAGAATGCTCACCCCGTTTGGGTAGCCAAGGTGACAAGACAAGGAGTCATCAGATCAAGTTATTTTGTCTCAAAAAGCAAAAGAGAAGCTTTCATTCAGAAGACATGAGGAGGTCTAATGAGGAGGTAACACTACCTTCCAAGTCTAAATCCGCTGCTCCTCAAAGGCCTCAAGTCCCCTCCCCTACCAGCTGTCTCGCCCTCCCCAGTGCATAGAAGCCTCTCCTTCCTCCTAGCTCCAAACCAAGAGGATTCCCCAAGTGACCAGACTTGCCAGGGACTGTCCAGGCTGAGCCCCATACAGAGAAGCTGAACCTGAGCCCTAGCCTCACAGGCTCAGCAGGGTGAGGGGACAGGAGAGGGGGACGCCAGGGGGAGGACAGCACTGCCTAGCCATGGAGAGAGGGCAGAGGGTGTGGCCACAGCTTGCAGGATGTGGATCATGGCATCACGGGCACTGCGAAGATCCTGTAAGTCCAAATGGGGGAGGTCCTGGGGTGCCTGGGTTGCTCAGTCTGTTAAGCGACTGACTCTTGATTTCAGCTCGGGTCATGATCTCAAGGTTCGTGAGTTCAAGTCCTGCAACGGGCTTCACGCTGTGTACATCCTGCTTGGGATTTTCTCTCTCTCTCTCTCTCTCTCTCTCTCTCTCTCTCTCTGCCCCTACCCCACTCGCTCTGTCTCTCTCTCAAAAGAAATAAACTTTTTAAAAATGGAGAAGGACCTTACCCACCCCCCAGGACTCTGCATTTTATCCCACAAACCATGCAGAGTCATCAGGCAACTTTCAGCAGGTGCATGACACGCAGGATTCCTGTTTTAGTCTCATCTCTCTGAGCCCAGGGTGGAAGAGATGCTGGAGGACAGAGAGCTGCAGGGAGGGAGACCAGTGAAAAGTCTATTCCAGCTCTAGGGAATGTGAGGGGCCAGCATCAGGGAAAAGCCATAGGGGATATTCAAACGGATCATTAATGTTTTATCTCTTCAGCTGAGTGGTGACCCAGATGTTTGCTTTATTCTTTAAATGGTACTTTGACATTACTTATGCCTTGTTTTTGTTTACATCATAGTTCATTTATTTTTAAAAACTTCTTCCAGTGTCCAGAAAAGAAATGAGAGCCTGTACACACGAAAATAGTTACAATGGTAAATTTCATGTTATGTATATTTTACCACAATTAAAAAAATTATTTTTTTTTTTAATTTTTTTTTCAACGTTTATTTATTTTTTGGGACAGAGAGAGACAGAGCATGAATGGGGGAGGGGCAGAGAGAGAGGGAGACACAGAATCGGAAACAGGCTCCAGGCTCTGAGCCATCAGCCCAGAGCCTGACGCGGGGCTCGAACTCACGGACCGTGAGATCGTGACCTGGCTGAAGTCGGACGCTTAACCGACTGCGCCACCCAGGCGCCCCTAAAAAAATTATTTTTAAGTGAGTGAGAGCTTAAGGCAGTGGAAATGAGAGAGGAGCTGTGGAAGCAATGGGCTCAGCAGGATTAGACAGCAGAGACAGAGACTCTCATGCCAGTTCCTGGCCAGGCTCTGAGCTTCCCTGGCTATACATCCTGTTTCTTCTACCTTATCTCCCCCTAAAAGTCCTAAACTAAAGACCCTTTGCATTCTGTATTCCCCAGAGCACCCATACAGCATTTTGCTTATAGTGGTGACTAAAACACATTTTTCTATGAGACTGGGTTTACCAGATGGCCACAGTCACAGCATTATGAATATTCCCCAAAGAACGGAAGAGATAATTATTTCATCTGTCCAGACACTCAGAGTGCGAGCATCATTACTGATTGAGCCACATGCTTCTGACATGTGAATTCACTCCAAGAAAATTTCCTATTACAAGAGGCTCATGAATGTCTTGGTAGCATCACTAGATGCTGAAAGATTCACAGAACCTTCTCCAGAGCAGCCCATGGACTAGAAAGATACCCCACCAGGAATATTATCACTGAGATGGACGCTGTAGGGTATGAATGTCCTCACAAGTTACCCCATCCCCAAGCCCCAAAACTGACAGGATAATCCCAGATATTTATTCCCAGGTAGGGATCGAGGTGCTCAGTGTTCACTATAATACAGGTGACCAGAGGATGCATCAAAAGCACTGACCTGCCTCACAGCCATTTATCATTTTACAACAGACCTCTTACCTGCACAAAGGATAGCTAACCACCAGGGACATGCATATGCTGTAGGACTGACGGAAGGAACTTGGCAACCACTTTTTGTGGACACAATCTCTAGAAACAACCCCCAAAATGGTTCCTAAAGCATGCAGTGAATGCAGTGGCTAAGAGATGGCCAGATTCCTACACTTTGAGAGTCAGGATGGTCAAAGGCAAATGGAGCTGGTGGTCAGTTGCCCCTGAACACTCAGTTCCTATTCCTTGGGAGTAACTCTATCTCTATATCTCCCCAGGTCATACACATCCACATCCTTGTTAACAAACAAACTAAGGTACACCGTACCTCTTAACTTCAGATTCCATCTTAACCTCAAATTCTATGTCATTTGAGGGATAAAATCTGTATGCAAATACAGACGTGTGTATGCCCACATCTACATATGACACCATCTAGGCCAACATAAGACTCAAAGATGAAAGTACATATATTACAGTAATGTGGGACAGTCCCTAATCCCATAATTTACCCAAGCAATCTACAATGTGAGGCTACTCCAGCCAAAATTTCAACAGAATATTGGGGAAACTGTGGCCCAATAATTCTTAGGTTCATTTGGAAGAATAAATTCGTGAAAATAGCTCAGAAAGTTCTAAAAATGAGAGTAATTAAGAACTTGCCTTATCAAGTATGTAAATATACTCTGAAGTTTGGGGCCTGAACCCATGACCCTGAGATCAAGACCTGAGTCGAGATCAAAAGTCAGATGCTTAACCAACTGAGCCACGCGGGCACCCCCATTTATTCAAGACTTAAAAGGTCTTTCAACAGCATTACAGGATTCTTCACAGCAAATTTATTCTTAGATTTTATTATTTTCTGGTGGCTGCAGTGTCTGCCATTATATATTTACCTGGCTATTGTTGGTACATAGAAAAATATCTATATTGATCTTGCAAAAGTCCATGTTCAAATTCTAATAATTTTTAGTTGGTAATTTTGTTTCTCTCATTTCCAGCATTTTATCACCTTGTCTGGATGCACTGCCCTGGAGTGCTACTACACAGTTAAATGGTGGAGCTACTAAAAGACAGCCTTGACTTATTCTTAATTGCAATGAAAATGTCTTTCTTTACTTTACTTCTTACCAGGGCCAGTCCAGGATAAAGCACATATGGCACTCACCTCAGTCATGAAATTTAACAGGGAAGGGGCCCCTGGGTGTCTCAGTCAGTTAAGTATCCGACTCTTGGTTTCAGTTCAGGTCATGATCTCCCAGTTTGTGAGTTCAAGCCCCATGTCAGGCTCTCTGCCCCCCTACCCCACGTTTCTCTTTTTCTCAAATAAATAAGTACACTTTAAAAAAAAGAACAAAATTTAACAGGGCAACAAAAAAGAGACTAGTTTAATACAATACTTTTAAAAAAACTATGCAAAAATAGATGATAAAAAATACCAACATGTTAATAGAGACAAGATCAGTATTATTGATTTTTCTCTTTGCCTCAGGTTCCCATAGGGCTCCGGCTGGACACTGTGAATGAGCCAGTTTTTCAAAAGTTTTCACCATGAAATACCATGCTAGTTGTTGGCTTTTCTAGAGTTTGATAGAGTGGACCTTCTGATCCGGTTCTCTTTTCCATGGATACAAATGGAAAGGGACCCACAACAGAATCCTGGACGGCAGCAGCCTCGTCTTTGAAGGTCTGCAGAATTACATTTAACCTACCGGGGCACTTTTGGTATAAGAGAAAGAACCCTCCTATTAAAGATGAAGACAGAAGGTCTGTGTTTAAATTCAGACCTCCATTTGCTGTCAGGCCTTGGGCAAGATATTTAACAGAGCGATGGTCTTCTGCCCTTGGTAAATTGGAAATGATAGCACCTGCCTTCAGGGCTTGAAGCGGGTTAAATAGGAAAATAACCAGCGGAGGCTTCAACTCCTTAACGTTTGTTTTTTCCTACTATATACAGGGAACTGAGGAAAATTTTAAATGAAATGTGAACGGAGAGAATGCCTGACAAGGTGTGTGTCTTGGGTGGGTGATGGGAACTCTGCCGACACAGCTAGCTGGAAATGGCTGTTGTCAAGTGACAGTTACCCTGGCCAAGGACATAATGTGCATGTCTGCAGCAGGACATAGGTACCTAAAGGCAGGACTGCAGGAAAGGAGGAGGTGTTGGGGAAAGCCAAGAGCTGCTCCCCAAAGCAGTGGTTCAGTCACTTTGTTGGGTAGAAAGCCCACCTGGGGAGTATGCAGGTTCATGCGCTCGAGATTCTGAGCCAGTGAGCCAAAAGCCAGGCCTAGAGCTGCAGGTGGTTCTGATGTCTGGGGCTCTAGGACTGCACTCTGGGAACTTTCCAGAATGGATTTGACCTCCTTGCCAATAAAATACAAGGCCTTTCCCTAGATGCCCAGGCCATCATGCTCCACGCATTCTCTATTCCTTTTCAAGATCCCACTCCTGGGTCACCTATACTCCCTGCCAGTATGACA